CCAAACTTTTTTGGTGGGGCAAGTGACTACTTGACTTGTGCAATTTTCGGTCGCCCGAGATAGACATTGGTCGCCTGTGGCGAGTGGGCGACCGTCCATTTCAGGCACTGTATGTATAGGGCTGTAATGATACACTCGCGTATTCGGTGCACCGAATATTGTTGGTCGATACGTAATCGTTATTCGCGTCATCATTATTCGAATACTGACGAATACAAATAATATAAATGGAACCTACTTAAAAAAATCTTTTTTAAACTGCAATTCTACGCCGATTTACTCGAATTCTGAATGTCGTTTGCAGCTTTCCCCGTGAACGCACCTAGACTGGTACCCGTCCCTTCTCACACGTCAAGAAGGCCGGGACGTGTATCTTACTATCACGTGTAACTCGCCCCATATCAAGCGTGTAAGAAGGGACGGATACTAGGGTTGCAGCGGTATACCGGCGGCGGTATTGCGATATTATCGCGGTGTAATATTTTGGAATTATCATACCGTAACCAGCTCAATACCGCGGTGTTCTTGTTGACGTGTGATATACACGTGTACAGTGATGTCACGAAAATCTGACAGAGCCATGTGCGCAACAGCGGTGCCTTTGATTGAAGTACGGGGCTCGATCGATTGCGAGCGCGTAGCGCGTTTCACTAACGTCCGCTAAAAGTTGTTCGTTAACGGACGAAAGTTGTCCGGAAGCATAGCGGACAACACACACACACACACACGCACGTACGCGTGCACACACACGTACGCACACACACACACACGGTTACAACTTGACACTTTGTATTGGCGCTTACAGCTCCTATATGCAGCTCCTGTCGTCTTACATCTGGACCAAAAGTATCTCCGGTGCGAATTTTGCATTTACTGTACCCTTGGTTGACCGGTCTCGCGGGGTACGCGAGAAAGTGGGGCGAGGAGCATGGAGCGAGGCGAAATCAGGACAAGGAGGAATTGGCAAAGAGATATGGTGATCGTGGCAGTGTTTTGTCTTTGCCCATGCGGTTCTAAGACATTTTTATTTGTTATTCTCAAAACAATCTACTGTCTCATCAAGCGAACACGGTAGGCATCATGTAGAGTGAGAATAGAACCACTAAAAACGCTTTTCCTGAAAACAACTCGCAATGATCGACTTTAACTAAGAGTAATTGAAAGAACCACCGTAACCTTGTTCGTCGATTCCTTCCTCCATGTTACTTCTCAGAAATATAATGTGCACTATAGTAAATCGCTAACAGTCTAGCCGTGCATAGACAAATCCTGTGGCAACTGAACTATTGAAAATAACATTAATCCTAGTTACACATACCTTGTTACATCGACACATACCTAGGGCTGCTAATGAAATACACTAGGTCACGAATAACAATACGCTATCCCAACGAT